GGCTAAACAGGTTAGGCCTTTATGCCTCAGAGGTTAGAAGAATAATGAATGACCTTATTGAAACATACAAGATTCCGAGAGGGTTGACAGGGTAGATGTTGAGAAGATGTTTCCACAAGTATTGGGATACTGAACGTGGTGACAGAATAAGGTGACACTCATTTAAAATTTGAGATGCAAAGGGATTTATTCTCCCAGAGGGTGGTGAAATCTTTACCAGAGAGAGGTGCGCAAGCTAGTTCACTGAATAGATTTAAAGCGGAAGGAGATAGATTTTTGAAGTATTAGAGAATGAAGGGCTATGATGAACTGGCACAATAGAGGAGTTGAAACCTGGAGCAGATCAGCAATCACCTTATTGAATGGCAAGAAAGGACTGAGGGGCTGATTAGCCTACATCTTCCATCCTTATGAATCTTCACCCATTCTAATCACCTCTTCCATCCTGCCTATCTCTCAATTCACTTCTCCCTCATTAGGCATCAACTCTAAATGCACAAATACTATTTTAAATAATTCCATGTGGTGGGGAGCTCCAAATTCTCCCTATACAATAAAGAAATTCTTTTGATATTGTTTACTTGGTTTGTTGGTACTTAACGTACACTTATGCATCTTGTTCTGGATTCAGCAAGGTACGGAAACCCTTTATTACAGTCAGCCTAGCAAACTGTCCTGGATCTCCCACGTAGATGCAATGGTCAAGAAGGCACAACAATGCCTCTTCATCCTCAGGGGCTAAGAAAATTCAGCATGTCCATACGGACACTCACCAACTTTTACAGATGCACCATAGAAAGCATTCTATCTGGGTGCATAATAGTTTGGTATCGCAACTGCTCTGTCTAAGCCTGTAAGAAACTACAGAAACTTATGCATACAGACCATCACAGAAATCAACCTCCCATCCACGGACTCCACTTACACTTCCTGTTGCCGTGGAAAGGCTGCTAACATCATCAAAGACCCCTCCTGCCCTGATAGTACCCTCTTCCATCAGGCAGGAGATACAGAAGCTTGAATAGACGCACCAACAGGTTCAAGAATAGCTTCCTTCCTGCCATTATTAGACTGATGAATGGGCCTCTCCAATTTCAAATGTAACATTGATTTTGCTTTGTGTATCTGTAATCTTGTACGCCTCACTCTGTCTAAGCACCCTATGATCTGTACGTCCTTGTATGTTATGATCTGCCTGTACTGCTGGCAAAACATAACTTTTCACTACACTTAGTACATGTGACAACACTAAATCAAATCAAAACAAAAACCTTTGATCATTTTGAAGACATTTATCAGATTCATTTTTAGTCCAAATCTGAATGAAACTACTGACTAAGGGAATAAGGAAAAACTGGTGTTTCAGTGACTGATATACAAATTGAAGACAATTGATAGAAAAAAAAGCAGAGCAGATTTGGGAAAAATGTCTTTATTTCTGGAATACAACTCTTGCAAGGCTGATAGAAAATAGGAGCAAGAGCAGGCCAATCAGCCCATCAAGCAAGCTCTGCCATTCAACATGAAAATGGCCGATCTTCTATTATTATGCCATAATTTCTTTTTCTCCCCACACACACCCAACGTCTTGACCCTCTTTAAATCTATTTATTTCTTAAACACATTCACTGACTTCACCTCCACAGCCTTCTACGGCAGAGAATTCCACAAGTTCACCACCCTTTGAGTGAAGAAATTTCTCCTCATATCAGTCCAAAATGGACTACCACATATTCTGAGATTACAATCCCTTGTTCTCCACGCCTCAGCCAGGGGAAACATCCTTCTTGCTTCCAGTCTCTCTAGCCCGTCAAAATTTTATATGTTTCAATGAGATCTCTCTCATCCCGATTGACTGATTTCATTTGTTGTCACGTGTACCTAAGTACAGTGAAAAGTTCTGTTTGCGAGCAATACAGGCAGATCATAATAAGCAAGAACATACAGATCATAGGGTGGGAAAAAAAACTTGGACAGACTAAGGCATACAGGTTACACGACATAGGACGTGTGCTAGACAAGATCAACATTAACAAGATCAGCATTACAGTATTTGAAGTTATAGAGTCCATTCATCAGTCTAATAATGGCATGGAAGATGCTGTTCTTGAACCTGCTGATGCATGTGTTCATGCTTCTGTATCTTCTGCCTGACGGAAGAGGTTGAAGGAGAGCATTTCTGGGGTGGAATGGGTCTTTGATGATGTAGGCAGCCTTTCTGCAGCAACAAAATGTGTAAATGGAGTCCACGGATATGAGTTTGGCTTCCGTTACGGTCCGGGCCGTGCACACAACCTTCTGTAGTTTCTTGCGGTCCTGGGAAGAGCAGTTGCTGTACCAGGCCATTATGCACCCAGACAGTATGCTTTCTACGGTGCATCTGTAAAAGTTGGTGAGGGACCTTATGGACATGCCAAATTTCTTAAGCCACCTTCCTGTGCCTTCTTGACGATCGCATCTACATGGGTAGTCCAGGGCAAGTTGTCAGTTACCATCACTTCTAGGAACTTGACATTCTCAACCCTCTCGACCTCTGATTCGTTGATGTAGACGGGGCTGGGGTCTCCTCCTTCCTTTCTGAAGTCAATGATTAGTTCTTTAGTTTTGCCGACATAGAGTGAGAGAGGTTGTTCTCATTGCACCATATCACCAAGCCCTCTATCTCCTTCCTGTATTCTGACTCATCATTGTTTGTTATTCGTCCTACCACAATGTGTTGTCAGCAAACTTGTAGATGGGACTAGTTCAGAATTTGGCAACACAGTTATGTGTGTACATGGGAGTACAGTAGGAGGCTGAGAACGCATCCTCGGGAGGGCTGTAGGATGGAGTGTTATTGTGGGGGAGGTGCAGTTGTCTATCTTCACTGACTGTGTTCTATGGATCAGAAAGCTGAGGATCCAGTTACACAGAGCAGAGCCGAGACCTAAGTCTTGGAGATTTTAGATCCGTCTGGAGGGGATAATGGAGTTGAAGGCGGAGCTGTAGTCGACGAGCAGGTGTGTGACATAGGTGCCCTTGTGGTCCAGATATTCCAGGGATGAATGCAGGGCTGGGGAAATGGCGTCCTCTGTGGACCTGTTGCATCGGTAGGCAAGCTGTAGGGGATTGAGGCAGGCTGGGAGACTGGAGTTGATGTGGGCCATGACCTGCCTCTCGAAGCACTTCAAGATTACGGAGGTCTGAGGCATTGGGCGGTAGCGATTAAGGCACATTGCATGTGTTTTCTTAGGTGCTGGGATGATGTTGGTCTTCTTGAAGCAGGTGGGTACTTTGGCTAGCAGGAGGGAGGGGTTGAAGATGTCGCCAGCTGGTCCACACAGGATCGGAGTGCATGGCCGGGGACACTGTCCGGGCCCGTCATTTTCCTTGGGTTGACTCCCAGGAAAACCGATCTGATGTCTGCAGTGGTGACTGAGGGAACAGGTGCAACTGGGGCTGTTGGGGCTGGTGACATCTCGCTGCTGGCATTCTGCTCGAACAGAGCTTAGAAAGCATTGAGCGCATCAGGGAGGGATGTGTCTTTGTCTGCGATCTTGCTCTGCCTTATTGGGTATCCTGTTATGTTGTTTCTGACTAAATGTGTACTCACTGCCTACTGAAGACCAGGCATGTAGTATTTTCAATGTATTTTCAATCTATTTTCAATGTTTTTAAACAAAACTTCATCAAGTTGCCTCTTTTAGACATGCTGACGTTTTTGTAAAGTTAACTGTCCAATTACTTTGCAGAGCAGATCTTGCACTTAGTAATATTCAAATATATTTGAATCAGAAACTCAAAATGGAGAAGACACAGGGGCCAGGAGTGCATAAGGTTGGTTTGGGCCTTTAACTTGGTCCGGTACTGCCTCTTAGCATCTCTGAAGACTTTACAGAGATCATATCTGGGTTTTCTGTATAGTTCTGGGTCATCTGACTTGAATGCTGCACGCTTGGTCTTCAGTAGGCAGTAAGTACAGACCTAGTCAGATTCAATCATTATTTTTGTAAGGGAGTTCGATGTACAAAGGGAACATTCTGCAGAGCTACAGGAGAGGAGTGGCCAGTTGAATTAATTTGATAGTCGCTTTTCAAACAGTTGGCACAGTAACAATGGGCCCAATGGCATTTTTCTGTGCTCCCATTTTTTATGTTATAATAGCCTTTGCTCAATCCATCGCAATCCTTTCAATTTTGAATGCATCTTTGCAACTCATTTCTGTCTTTCCTCCAATGTTCCAATATCTTTATTATAGAAATATAAACAAGTATGATCTGATACCCTTTACAGAGACATGGCTGAAGAATGATTTAACTTAGGTCCTGAGTATTGGAGGGTACATGACATTTAAAAAGGATGAGAAGCTAGAAAAACATGAAGGGTGGCTCTGTTAATTAACAATAGTACTAGCTCAATAGAAAGGGATGAATTATATTCAGGAAACCAGGGTGTAGATGCAGTTTGTATGGAGATGAGAAATGGTGAAGACAAGAGGTCACTTGTGATGTACGGGCCCCCTGATGCATCCTTGATAAACAAGAATGTGAAAGGTTATGGGGATAAGTGGGAATGTGGAATAATCAGATCAGCCATAATCTTATTGAATGGTGAAGGAGGCTTGAGCGTATGTAGGGCCTTCTGCTCCTAATTCCTCTTTTGACATATCAGCATTTTTAGGTTACTCAGAGGTGGTGGATTGACATTTGATTAAAAATACCTTGTACGATAAACCTATTTGCAATGGTTTTAAACAAAATTTCATCCAGTTGCCTCTTTTAGACATACTGAGGTTTTCATAAATTTAACTGTCCAATTAGTTTGCATGGCAGATTTTGCACTTAGCAATGTGCAAATATACTTGAACAAGAAACTCAGAAGGGAGAAGATACTATTCCACCTGGAATTGACATTTGCATTCAAACAGAAACACTAACCACAAACATTGCCTAAATTGTTGAAAAAAGATGCAAATACATATTTAAGTAAATTAAACAATATGAACCCAAATAATAACTTACACAGAATAAAATATTGCTTGCTTTTGCCTTTCCTATTCTTCAGTTTATAATAGACAAATTGTGAGATCATCATATTGTCAAGGGTAACATAAAAATTAGCTGTAACAGTCTGTAATGAAAACAACACATTATAAGTTAATTGTTATAAATTCCCAATAGAAGGTTCGCTATGCAAATAAGTTGTAGAAAGTGAAATTAGAATATCCATTACCACTAAATAACTCATTATGCTACCATGTAATATAAATGATCATTACAACAAAACTAGTTTATGGCTTTAGCTCACCATATTTAAACATGCTTATAATATGATGCATAATATAAGTATTATGTTTTCTGAAGTTTCATCAACTTATGTCAGCATCAAGGATCTACTGTGAGTTAAGAGGTGTAAGCATTAAGGCATTCTGTCTTGAACATAGCTATACGTTGTGTTTCACTGCTATATTTCTTAGTTGCATAGTAATAATATGTTTGATTAATGACTTCTCCAGCCATTTGAGATAGGGTTCAACAGCTTCTCAGTTGCAATAGTTGTGATGATGTTGCTGACATTGCTAGTGAGCAGTCACCAAACAGATAATTACTAGGAATAAGTCCCTGGATTGGTTTTGCGGAAAGAAAATTAGCCATTTGCTCTGGTTTTTATATAGCAGAAGCAGAAAAATTTCATTTAAATTATATTTGGAACTTCTATAGACCCAAAACAAAACCAGAAAGAAAAAACATAATGCGAGGAAGGAGAGATTGTTTTTCACAAAGAGTTTATGGGAGAGGCCTGTCCATGAGTTTGTCGCGTGTTGATGGCTCTGGACAGACTTTTTTTTGTTTGCAACTTTTATGGTCCAAAAAAAAATGTAGCTGTTTAAATAAGGACAGGGATCAGTATTTCTTTTCTCAGACCCAGACTTTGAAAGTTGATTGATAGAGATTTGAAGAGGAGGCTTTTTCCAGTTGATGGTAGCTTCAGCTCAGTGCTTCTTTTATAAAATATTTTAATTTTTTAATGATAATTTTCTTCTTTACATGCTTAAGATTAAAATCCGTGGGTAAGGAAGGTTTTTTTTTAATATCTAAGGTTCTTTTAAGGGCTTCTTTTGAGGTATAATGTCACTGAGGCTTATGGAAGACACAGGGAGGTATGGTTAGTAGATTTAGAGAGAGGTGGTTACACAGCAGCACCAGTCAAATACATGGGTGACTGACAGAAAAAGTAAGAAGGTTGTTCACAAGTCTCCTGCGGCTACACCTCTCTCAAACAGATATTCCGTTTTGGGTACTCTTAGAGGGGGGGAATAGTCTCTCAGAGGAAAATAGAAGTGGCAGTCAGAATATGGGCACTAAGAATGAATTCATGTTAAGCAGGGTTTGCCAAAATTTAAAAGAATAATTGTTATAGGGGACTCTCCCAAAAGGGGCACACAGATTGGAGATTCTGTGACAATAACCACGAAGCCAGGATAGTACATTGCTTTCCTGGTGCCAGGGTCACGGATGTCTCAAAATGATTGAAGTAAATTGTCAAAGGAGATAGGGAGAAGCTGGAAGTTGTTGTATATAATCAGTAAGAATGACATAGTTAGCGAAAAGGTTAAGGCTTTGCAGAGTGAATACAGGAGATTAGGTAGAAGGTTAAAAAACACAACCTCAGAAGGTAGTAATCTCTGGTTAGTCCCAGTGTCACATTCTAATGAGAGTAGGAATACAAAGAAAGGGCAGGTAAATCAACAGCTGAAGAGATGGTGCAATATTCAAGGGTCCAGATTTTTAGATCATTGGGATCTCTTCTAGAGCAAAAAAGGCCTGTTCAAAACAGATGGGTTTTACCTCAAGGGGCCAATGTCCTGGTGGGGAGATTTGCTACTGCTGTTTCAAGAGCCTTTGAACTAGTGGGGGGGGGGGTGGAGATCCTAAGAAAATACAAAGGAGATGAGGTTGGTTTGGAATCAAAAAGAACAAGTTAATTAGAAAAGACAGAAAACAGCAAGTCAGAGAACAAGGTAACTCTGAAGAATTAAACTACATTTATTTCAATGCAAGGGCTTGCGGGTAACTTACGGCATGTATGGGAACATGGGACCAGGACGTCATAGCTATTACAGAAACTTGGCTGAGGGAAGGACAGGACTCGCAGCTCAGTGTTCTGGGTTTTACATCTGTTAGGAAGAATAGAAAGGGAGGCAAGGGAGGGTGGTGTTTTTGATTAAGTTACTACTGAACTTAGAGAGAGGAGATTTCTGAGGGATCATCCAGTGAAGCTATATGGGTGGAACTTAGAAATAGGAAAGGGATTATCACCCTGACGGGATGGCAGTATAGAAACCACCCCATAGTCAGAGGGAAATTAAGAAGCAAATATGTAGAGAGATCTCAGATAGTTGTAAGAATATTAGGGCTGTAACAGTAGGGGATTTTTAATTTTCCAAATATTGACTGAGACTGCTATAGTGTTAAGGGCTTGGATGGTGAGGAATTTGTTGAATGCATTCAAGATAGTTTTCTTTATTAATGTTTAAATGTACCTAATACTGAAGGAGTAAAATCTGACCTCCTCTAGGGAAGCAAGGCAGGGCAAGTGAGTGAAGTGTCATTGGGGGTTCACTTTGGAACTAGTGATCATAATTCTATTAGTTTTAAAATAGTTATGGAAAAGGATAGGCTGTTAAAGTTCTTAATTGGAGTAAGGCAAACTTGAATGATGAGAAAGGAACTTTCAAAAACTGATTAGAGTAGACTGTTCGCAGGTAAAGGGATGACTGAGAAGTGGGAGGCTTTCAAAAGAGTGATAATGAGAGTTGAGAGGCATTATGTTTCTGCTTGAGTGAAGGGTAAGGCTGGTAAGAGTAGGGTACAATGGATGAATAAAGATATTGAGGTTCTGATCAAGAATAAGAAAAAGCCATATTAGATCCAGACAACTGGAATCAAACAAATCTCTTCAAGAGTGTAGTGGGTGTTCTTAAGAGGGAAATCAGGAAGGCAAAAGGGGGATATGAGAGATCCTTAACCTTGTCTGCCAAGGCTAAGCCAAAGAGATTCTACAAGTACATTTAGAGCATAAGAGCAACTAAGGAGAAAATAGGGCCCCTTAAAGATCAACAAGGCCATCTATGTGTTGAACATCAGGAAATGGGCATGATACTAAATGAATATTTTGCATCAGTTTTTTTACTGTGAAGAAAGAAACGGAGGCTAGAGAAGTCTGAAATAAATACTGATGTTTTGAAAACAGTTCACATTACAGAAGAGGAAGTGCTGTAGGTCTTAAAAAATATAAAAGGTGGATAAATTTCTGGGGACCTGACCAAGTGTATCCCAGGATGTTGTGGGAACATAGGGAAGAAATTGCAGGACTTGTAGCAGGAATATTTTATCATCGATAACCATGGGTGAGGTGCTCAAAGATTGGAGGGTGGCTAATGTTATGCTTTTATTTAAGAAAGGCTGCGAGAAGTGTGGGAACTATAGACCTGAGAGTGTGACATTGGTGGTGGGTAAGTTATTGGAGGTGATTCTGAAAGGTAGGATTTATATGCATTTGGAGAGGCAAGGACTGAGTAAGGTTAGTCAGCATAGCTTTGTGCAAGGAAAATCATGTCTCACAAACTTGATTGAATTTTTTGAGGAAGTAACCAAAAAAACTGATGAAGGCAGAGTGGTAGGCATTGTTTACATGGACTTTAGTAGAGCTTTTGACAAGATTCCAGATGGTAAACTAATCAGTACAGTTAGATCACAACAAATTCAGGGAGAGTTTGCCAATTGGATACAAAATTGGCTTGATGGTAGGCAACAGAGGGTGCTGGTGGTGGTGGAGGGTTGTTTTTCTGACTGGAGGCCTGTGACCAGCAGTGTTCCACAGGGATCAGTACTGGGTTCACTTTTGCTTGTCATTTATATAAACGAGTTAGATGAGAATTTAGGAGGCGTAGTTAGTGAGTTTGCAGATGACACCAAAATGGTGGCAGCCTGAACAGTGAAAAAGGTTATCTAAGATTACAAAGAGATCTTCATCAATTGGGTCAACAGGCTGAGGAATGGCAAATGGAGTTTTGTTTGGATAACTGCGAGGTATTGCATTTTGATAAAATAAACAAGGGCAGGACTTACACAATTATTGGTAGAGCCCTGGGTAGAGTTGTAGAACAGAGAGAGACCCAGGGGTTCAGGTACATGATTCTTTGAAATCTATGTCACATGTAGACAGGGTGATTAAGAAGGCATTTAGTACGCATGCCTCCTTTGCTCAGTCCCTTGACTATAGGAGTTGGGGTGGCCTGTTGAGGTTGTACAGGCATTGTTGAGGCCTCTTCTGGAGTACAATGTGCAGTTCTGGTCGCTCTGCTTTAGGAAGGATATTATTAAATTGGAAAGGGTTCAGAAAAGATTTGCCAGGACGTTGCCAGGAATGGAAGGTTTGAGTTATAAAGATAGGCTGGGACTTTTTTCACTGGAGCATAGGAGGTTGAGGGTTGACATTATAGAGGTTTAAAAGTCATGAAAGGCATAGATAAGGGGCGAATAGCAAGGGTATTTTCCCCAGGGTTGGGCAAGATCAAAACTAAGGGGCATATTTTTAAGGTGAGAGGAGAAAGATTTAAAAGGGACACAAGGGGCAACTTTTTTATACAGATAGTGGTTTGTATGTGGAATGAACTGCCGCAGGAAGTGGTGGCTGCAGGTAAGAAGTTACAACATTTAAAAGACATTCGATAAGTACATAAATAGGAAAGATTTGGAGGGACATGGGCCAAATGCAGGCAAGTGGGACTAGTTTGGTTTGAGAACATGGTTGACATGGACTAGTTGGACTGAAGGGTCTGTTTCCACGCTGTAAGACTGTGAATCTATGGTTTTGAATACTTTTCCAGTGTCAAAATGGTTAAAACAAGGGAGGTTTGAAATAAAAACAAGTTGCAATCAGATTGGTTCAATGGAAACTTACTGGCAAAAACTATTTTAGTTCAATTTTATGGCTGGTTTTCTGAAATTGCAGAACTAAGTTATCATCTATTCAATTTGGTGCATTGAAGAGAAAGGAACAAAATCAGAATATTGCGTGTCTCCTCCTTCAACATTCTTTAATCATGCTGTCTGAGTGGAATTTGCACATTCTCCCCGAGTCTGTGCAAGTTTCCTCCGGGTGCTCCAGTTTCCTCCCACAGTCAAAAGATGTGCAGGTTAAGTGGATTAACCATGCTGGGTGAGATATACTTGAGGGTCAGTGTGGACTTGATGGGCCAGATGGCCTGCTTCCACACTGTAAGAGTTCTGTGATTCATATTTTTTAAATTTATAATAGGAAATCTAATATCTATGCTAAACTTTGGTTCTTACAAATAACACATTTATTTACCTGAATAAGCAGCTGATTGGTCAAATAGCAGCCAATAAAATTGGTAATGTCACCACAGACCCAACAAAGCAGAAATCCCACTGACAATGCGTGATCCACCTTCTCATTCTTGTAAGCGACATACATTTGCCTAAATAACAATGAAATTGGTAATAGTACAGTTTTATTTTTATAGAATAAAATTTTGTGTGACATTTATTAAATATATACAAACTCTTCCCTTGTTTGGCTGTTAACAATGCTCATAAACAGACTCTGAAACATCTCTTAAATAAAGTGTGCAATGCTGTTACATTAGATTATTTGCCCAAGTTTGTGAAAATATCAATAATATAAATGTAAAATATTAATATTTTCACAAAGATGTTTACTCAGAATTTGCAAATTTAATCACTCTAACTTCTGACCAGCTTTCAATCTGTAATTATTGCAGGTTTCAAATGTTACTTGACAATGCAGGTGAATGGAGTGTAGAAGAGAACAAGAATGGTGTAATGAGTTCTTTACTCAACACACTGTGTTTACAGGTGACGGAATGATGTTTGGAGGCCTGAGTGCAAATATCGGTTGGATAAATGGCAAACCATGGTGCTTTGGCTCTTGTCAAAAATGTGAAGAAATTAATAAAACAAAAAAAAAAAGTGCTCAAGCCATCATCCCTTGTACCCTTTACCACCCCCACAAATACCCATTTCCCATACCAACCCATGCCACTTCATTCCCTGACCTAACCCCCAGGGCACTCATACTATCCAACTCACCAGTGTAATCACAAATTCTCAATGGTTCCTCATGCCAAGTTATGTCCTCCACTCATCCCACGGTTGTTTAAAGCCCAAATACTAATGTATGACCCTCCACCCAATTTTCTATGGTCCTTTATAACACTTATTCCAATCCTGCCATCCCGTCACCCTCCTGGCTCTTTTTCCCTACACTCTCATACTGCTTACTGATGCCAACCATTGCCACTCTCTTTGGCCTGACATCTACCATTCCAAATCACCATGTAAAATTCAGGAAACATATGAAATTAAATAATGTTGCATCTTTTGCTAAATTCACGATCATAAACAACACTGATTGAAAAAAAATGACTGTCTTCAATGTCCTTTAACCGCTTAAAAAACAAGTATCTTCAAAGACTTTATAACCACTTGGAGCTGTCAATCAAACCATAAACCGACAGACACCCCATTGTGATAATGAAAGGATATGACTTCTCTCATGCAGCATTCATTTTTTTTAAACACACATTAACATCCACTTTTAACAATCCCAGAGGGCACCTTACTTCTCCCAAAAGTTATAGTCATTGGGTCAGAACGTCAGAGCAGCACAGAAAACAGCTCTTTGGCCTATCATTGACAATGTTGGTCACCAAACACCTGTCTATTGTATTCTCATTTCCCAGCACTTGGTATGTAGCCTTGTATGCTATGGCATTTCAGGTGTTAATTTAAATTTGTCTTAAATGTTGTGATGTTTCCTGTCTCTAACACCGTTTCAGATGGTATGTTCCAGATACCAACCACCCTCTGGGTGAAACAATTTGTCCTTAAATCCTCTCCTTACCTTAAATATATGTCCGCCAGTAATTGAAGCCTTTTAGTCCTACTGACCCAATCACGTCCCTCCTAATCTTATGGGCCTAAATCAGGTGTCCCCTGCTCCGAAAATGATATCAAAAAAGTATCGCTCCTCTCCAAAAGGGTACCTTGCCTCCCCAAGGAACTCAACCCCATTCCCTGCGCTGCAAAACAGCAGGGTCTGAGCTCAGGGACACCTCATGGATGCCTCCACTGAGATGTAGAGCCTCTCCATCCACCTAAAAATATTAGTCAAAGGTGGAATTTAATGGGCCTGGCAATGAAAATATTGCCACAACTATTTCCAGAAATCCAGTCAGAATTAAACCCCAATTAGACAGTCCATTGTGCACAGACTATCTCTTTTCATTTTTCCTGTATTTCAATTGTGGACTAAATAGAGAAAAGGGCTGCTTTAAAACCAAGGATTGCTGACTGGTTACCGCATGCTTATGAAAACACATAACCTGACAATCAGTGAAAGAAAAACAAATTCCTGGAGAAACTCTACAGATCTGGTAATATCTCTGGAGGGAAGACAGAGGTAATGTTTTGGGTCTAGTGATCATCCTTCTGAACTCATTTTAAGTACTATTTACACAGCTGCTTGTTCAAGCAGTAGTAGAAGGTTACAGAGGAGTCAGAGCCAAGGGAGTATAAACAGAGATTCAGTAGGCAACAAGTTACGAGTTGTTCTGTGGATTACTGACCAGTTATCAACAAATTCCGTCTGCCTACCAACAACTATGTGATTGGCTCCCAGCTGGCTGAACAGCTTAAAGCTGTGAACAAGATAGGGAGAGGACATCAAATCTCCATAAACCCAGGAGCTGTCTCTGTTCTCTGCAGCAAAAAAAAAAACAAGAAATACTGGTTATACTTGAAGAAAATCAGTTTAACTTAACTTCAGCAATGGCTGCAAGGGAAGACTTTAAATTCATAAATTAGGGACCTTCTTAAATGTGGACCTGTCAACCTGTGCCTCCTGCAAACAAGTGAAGGCTTCCGGAGAAAGAAGACCATGAAGCAGGGTTCTGTGCAACACAAGAATCATGTCGACAGATCCTGTGAATGGGGACCATTGAGTGTGTGTGGTGGGTGTATGTACGATGTGCGTGTGCTCACATGGATGTGGAGGGGAGGGTGGGTGCATGCGAGTGTATCTCAAGAAGGGTGTGTAGCTGAGGAAGGATCTTGTTGCTATAGAGGGAATGCTGCGATGGCTTACCAGTCTGATTCCTGGGTTGGCAGGACTCACGTACAAGGAGAGATTGAATCGGTTGGGATTACATTCGCTGGAGTTTAGATGAATGACATGGTGTGATCAGGAACAGCTCTTCAGGTGAAGTAGCTGATAGAAGATGACTTAAGCTATAACTTGTGTGCTATGTCTTGGACAGCATTATAATTAATGATTCTGACCCTTTCTAGTGATGGGAAACTCAAATCAACCAAAGGAGCTATCAGAGGCAAGACATCTCTGTCCAAAGCTGGTATTTACACAATAGAATTTGGATATTTCTCATCTTCCCCGAACAAAAAGACAAAAAAAAAGTTCAAATTACTTGATTTTAATTTGTTGCAGTAGTTGTACATTAAATTCTTATTAAAACAGTTTCTTATGAACCTTGAAAAGACAAAATGTCTTTGATAAATTACAATTTGCATTCATGGAATTCCCTCCCTAAAGGCATTGTGCATCAACTTACTCCACATGGACTGCAGGGGTTCAAGATGGCAGCTCACCATTACTTTCTTGAGGGCAACTAAGGTTGGGCAATAACTGCAGGTCCAACCAGTGAAATCCATAACCCACAAATAAATTAAAAAAAAAAACATACACATGAAGCTCCCTAGTAAGAAAAGTAAAAATATACAAAAAAAAAACATATTCCGAGGCACAAAGTTGATTTTGCATAGTTGCAAAATCTGTTGCAAGACATTTGACGTCTAAACAGGCATAAAACATGAAAATGTAACATGATGGCATGTGAAGTAAATGTCAGCATGACCTACACAAGATCCATTAACAATAATGTCAACATTGTTAAAAAATAAAAAGGTAACGAGTATTGGCTTCACTTTCAGAACAAGGCCATAGGGTTAGGTGTCAGGGACTGACAGATTTTACTTCATGACTTATCTGTGAGACTAACCTTTGAAATATTTCGTATCTGCTTGGATGATGGCACTTCCATTTGTGTTTGAAACAAGTTAAGCAGAGTAATGTTTTGGTGATAATCTCATCAGTAAGCTTTACATTAAGAACTACATGCCTTGTAATTCTAAAAGCTGTCTTTCATAAGAGTTTTCAAAATGACTAATGTTAAGAGGTCTATGACAGGAATTTCTTTGCGCCAAAGGTTTGACATTTTCCCATTCTTTTTCCAATCCCTTTTATGCTCTTCTTTGCTGAAGATTATAATTCATGCTACAGTACTGCTCCACCTATACTGGTAGCCTTAAACTTCATCACATGATCGCTCTTCACATGCCAGCTTGCACCCTGAAGGTCAGGGAACCGTTAAATCAGGAAAGCCATTACAACCAAACCCAATTGTTTCTCCATTCAATGTACACAACTACATGTCAGTAGGGGCTCAGTGAAAATTAGAAGTGAAATCCTTTCTGACTCTGTACTTCTTTCCCCAACAGGACAGTAATGCTTGTTATAGCACACTCACCATTATCCAAGGTTGTTTAGGCTAACTCAGATTTTGTTTCACTTTATAATTTAATTATAGTTTTGTATACGGAATGCTGTAAAAGGTAGCTCAAAGCTTTCTCCTCACCATTGCCATTTGTATTCAGAGATGAGTAATATGGAACAATGATAGCCTCATGCTTTCTTGTTAAGGGAGCGGAGACTGACATCCTATCCAGAGTAATGATATGTCAGATGCCTTCTCCCTCCTCCTCCTGCTGCTATAAACAGCTTGTCCTCTTTCCTCCATCTCCTTGTGATGCTGCAGCGTGACAGGAACAGTAACTACAGCCGCAACGTAAGGAGCAAGTGGTACCACTCAGCAGCCTTTCTAAAGGTCTTCTAAAGACTCAGTACCACTCCCTTCAGTTACTGAGCTTCTGCCAACTTCTCTAATGACACAGTACTACAACCACCTCCACAGCAATGTAGTCAAAAACATATCTAATGAAAGTGGATAGGTGATACTGTTAGATAGCGCTGTTGGGAGAGGTGGAGGGGGAAGGAGTGGGATGGGAGCGTGCCCATGATGCAGCTGAACAGATGGTAAGCTGCACATGGCTAAAAGGAGGACATTAAATGTACCAGACAGGGCCAAAATAGCAAAAGAGTGCTGAACCAGCATCAGACACTGGCTGGCATCACGATCTGCCAATTCTATGCACTTCTGTGATATACATGGGACACGCATTGCTGTTGGTCTTCAAAATAAGATATCAACAGGGCCAGCATTGGGCACAGTTGGGAACAACCCCCTGCTGAAACCAGCTGTCATGCCTTGTCTGGATTTCCTTCCATCAATCCTTCCGGCCTGAGCTACTGATATCACCTGGGGAGGGTGTTACCACTTTGCCAGGAAGGCTCATTCTTAATGAACAATGATTTATTATATATTCCTTAGTAGCTAGTTATATTACCTCTGACGTACACAACTGTATCACAAGAAACAATCAGGCCTAATTTAAGACTGAGTCTATTTTAGCTACATTCTGTTCAAAGGGAGAATAATCACCAAAGCATACCCTGCAGATGGGAGAACTGATATAGTCACCATAGTCCTACTGGACCATAGGGCTGTTCATCAGAGATAGACGATTGGTGATGGTTTGACCGGACGGTCATCGCACCTCAAGCAAGGGGAGAGATTGAGAAGAAAAGACCTTCATGGTAACCTCATTCAGTATAGGAATTGAACCCACACTTTTGGTCTTACTCTGTATCACCAACCAGCCATTCAGCCAACTGAGCTTACTAACTCCCAGAGGTAATATTGCCACCTTCTTACCAGACCATAGGACTGCTCTCTCATTAGAGAGAAACATTTGATGGTGGCTTAAATGGAGGGTCACCACGCCTCAGGTGAGGGGAGAGGTTGGGAAGGAAAATCCTTTATGGCTACCTCAGCTAGTGCGGGAATTGAACCCATGCTGTTGGCGTCACAAACTAGTTGTCCAGCCAACTGAGCTAAATCAATCTCGCTAGACTGGTCTGTTCCTTCCACGAGCAGTCCTTTATATTCTGATGGGCAGAGCTTACCTTGTCATGTTTGTTAACCCTTTCAGGTTCTGACTGACTTGTACAACAACTAAATGTCAGCTTTTGAGTATCTGCTGTTTGTGTTGCATGCTTATGACTATTTGGTTCCTAGAAGTGTTGTCATCCAATGAAATGCAGGAGCTTTGATACACTGTTCCAGTATTCTAATTGGTCCAGGAGAACTGTGCAACTGGTGGGTACAGGACTTAGCAAATTACAGGAACTGGATGGAAATAGAGTCAAAATAGCTGTAGATGTCAGAGGGCTTAATAAAAGATCTCCATTACCTGAGACAGTAGCTGTTGGTAATGATTCTTTTGTCACTATTTATAGCTGTTCCAAGCCCATCATTTGTTAATCATGCAAGTCTGGGATCTTTCATTAGAAAAGTTAGAAATGTTTTCAAATCGTAAGGCAAAAAAGGGTGGGAAGGGAGAAGAGATTAAATAACGATAGAGTTGGTGTTACAAGGCCAAAGGGAGTCGTAATGAGATGAAAGAAGAAAACAAAGTATCTGTGGAGGTGTGAAAGGGAGAAGGATGAACAGTAATCATCCAATAGCAGAGAAAGAAAAAAAGACAATAAAAGTCAACCTGCAAATAAAGCGACATAAAATGAAGAAAGAGGCTACATTCTGAGATTGTTGATGTCAATGTTGAATCCTGAAGGTTGTTAAGAATCTAACTGAAAGATGAAGTTTGCACAGAGCTATATTGAAATACTGCACAAAAGGATCATAAGAAAAAGGAGTGGGGTAGGCCATTTGTTTCTTTCAGCCTACTCCATCATTTGATAAAATCTTTGATATGATTGCAACTTCACTTCAGCTTCCTAACTATCTCCCATAACTCTCAACTTTCTTGTCAAAAGTTTGTCTAGCTCAGCCTTGAATGTGTTCAATGTTCCAGCCTCCACTGCTCTCAGGGTAGGAGAATTCTAAACTCTAATGACCCTCAAGAGAATCATTTCTCTTCATTTCCATCTTAAATGGAATGTCCCTTATTTTCAAACAGTGCCCAACTCCCAAGTTCCAGAATTCTCCACAAGGATAGGAGACATTATCCCAGCATCAAATCTAGCAAGCCCTCAGAATCAGATGTTTCAATAAAACTGCCCCGCGCCCTTCTAAACTCTATGAATGCTTCACCTTGCATCATACAACTCCACATTATCTCAGGAATCAGCATTGTGAACATTCTCCGAACTGATTCCATATAAAATATACCTTCCTTAAGTAAGGAGATCAATACTGTACACAGCTCTCCAGATGCAATTAGTTCAAGTTCTGTCTGGTTGTAGCAACTCTTTCCTGCTTTTATTCTCCACTCCCTTTGCATTGAAGGCCACACTCTAATTGCTTCCCCAGTGAGGCTTCTGTAACTACAAGATAGCTTTTAGTGATTCATATATCAGGACCTCCAGATCTATCTGTACCACAAATTTCTGCCTTCTCTCTTGATTTAAATATGGAGTCTTTATCCATAACAGCACAATGGCTCCAGCAACCCTTGGTGCCAGCTGGCCACAATAGACCATGGGCAGTCTCCATGTGCGCATGTGCCAATGATGTCACCAGGCTGGGGTTGAAGTGGCAAGTCATTGCCCATCTTTTTAGGACCAGCCACACCACATGATCTATTACTAAATGTACACTAAGTAAATTACGCTTAACTAACGTCATGGTTATTATATGATAACTAAGACCCAAATTATACTTAACTAACTTAATGCTTATTGTATGATAATTAAGACCATTAAACATAACTCATACAATAACAATTACAGACATTGATTCAAAGGTACATTTGTAAATACACTTTCAGTTCCTTCAAAACTCATTCAGACATAAAGCACATAGAAGATTCATGGTACCTCTTTATTGTTTGGAAGCTATTTATTATTGTACACTCACTGTTATTACTGAAGGATCTAATTACTTTTCTACGAAATTTATGTTTCAACTTTGGTATTTAAATCACGGCGCACAATAAATCTAATGTGCTTTTGGAATACAAAGTAAAATCAACACAATAAAAATCATAAAAATGTACAGCTGGATTGAAAGAACTATGGATTTATTTTTTTTAAACTTACGGTAAAGAAGCAAAGAGAAAACAGCAAATTGAGGCAAGTCCTAGAACTGCACTCCAGAGTTCCCAAAGATTCTGCACACATTCTTCCATCACAGAAGATATCCAACTTTCATTTCCACATAACAGACCATTCTTTCCCACAGTGGCATTGGATTCATGGTAATTCTTTGAAAATTGGAGTAAAACTCTCATGATGTTAATAGAGGAAAACGAGAGATGGGCGACTGCAGTATCCTGAACCTGGACCTTGCTCCAGGAACTTGTCTCTTTATAGTTAGTCACTGAGATCTTATCAGCTGAACAGATCCTGTTACAGTTTCAACATGAGTCACCCTGAAAAAAAACACCTTTGCATTAGTTCAGATCTAAAATTTAACTTGACTTGAATCATTTCCATGAAAAATCATCATAAATTCAGAAAAGGATGTTATCCCTCACAGATATGAACAAGAACGAGTAGAAGGCCCACTCAAAGAATTTAAAGTTACATAGAGTGCAATAACAAATAAAAATGGGCACTGGCCCAACCAGTCTGTACATATGTTTGTTTTTCATTGTAAAGTGGTCCACTCCTATGTACTTGTTCTGTTCTGATATCATTTTCGTTCGAACGCCTGTCTAATCCATTATTGAATAACTTTGTACATTTCAGAGCACCTCAATGCTCCGTCTAAAAATATTCTTTTCACTGCGATTTCCAAACTATCTTATATTAAATTATATAACTCTGTAACATCTGTCACTGGAAACAGTGTAATTCTATAACAGTGAATCATTGAACCACAGAAAAGGGCTTTTGGTTTATTAAGTTTGGAACGTCAAAAAGTACTCTACTTCTACAATGGGCCCACATTCCAAAACTTGGCCCATAGCTTTGAATGTTCTCTTGTGCTCTTACAAGTACTTTTTGAAGGTTGTGAGGTATCCCACCCCAACTATCTTCCCAGCAGTGCACTCCAGGTTCCCACCATTCTGTGAATGAAAGACTTTTCCTCAAATCCCCTCTAAACCTCCAGTCTTTCACCTTGACTTGATTCTCCTTTGTTACTGATCCTTCAACTAAGAACAGCTACTTTCTATCTACCCTGTGCATGTCCCTTATAATCTTATACATCTCGATCAGGATCCCCTTGCTGATATAGGAACAGGAGTAGGCCATTCAGCCCCTCGAGCCTGCTCTGCCATTCAATAAGATCATGGCTGATCTATGACCTAACCCCACATGCTTGCCATGGCCCAAAATCCCTTGATAACCCAGCTTAATAAAAAAAAAATTGGCTCAGATTTAAAGTTAACAACAGAATTAGCACCAACTGCCTTTTGAGGAAGGGAGTTCCAAACCTCTACTACTCTTTGCATGTAGAAATGCTTTCTAACATCTTGCCTAAATGACCTGGCCTTAATTCTTAGTCTACGCTCCCTGGTTCTAGAATGTTCAACCTGTGGAAATAATTTCTTTATCTACCCTGTCTCTCTTGGTTAATATCCCGAAGACCTCAATTAGATCACCCCCTAACCTGCTAAATTCTGAAGAATAAAGGCCTAATTTGTCTAATCTCTGCTCACAACTTAATGCCCGAGTCCAGCTATCATTCTTGTAAACCTGCATTAAACTCCCTCCATGGCCAAAACATCATTCCTAAGGTGTAACACAGTGTGGAGCTGGAGGAACACAGCAGGCCAGGCAGCATCAGAGGAGCAGGAAAGCTGATGTTTCGGGTCAGCACCCTTC